TTTCACTCTACAATTCTTCTAAACACACTCTTTTCATACACACCTACTACACACTAAAGCAAAATATAGAATGAAAATACAACTAAACACCTTAAATTAAAACATGACCCTTCTTATAACATAGTTACACAACTTTAACATATTACACAGTACAAAAAATAATAATAATACACAAAGAAAAAAATACAACTGGTACAGTACCTATACTCCTATAATCAAATACAATATAAACTAAGTACTAAAATAGGTACAATCAAATAATCCTTTATCTTCACCATAAGCTAATACTAATGCCTCACAAGGTCAGCCATCAACTTAATTGGAAAATTACAATAATTTGGTAAGTAAATGAGTTTCAAGAACTAACCTCTGGCCACCTCTTCATATAGTCTGCTGAAGTGGACGTCCTCATAGGTCCCTCAGAAGCAATATCGACCTTCAGTACATCATAGCGGTCTCTGCCATTGACTTTAACAACTTTATAAGGTCCTAAATACCTTTGCTTTAATTTCATATTAGTACCAAATTGGGTTCTCTTGATTACTACATAGTCACCAATATTATGTTTAAGGCTTTCCTTGCGTTTTTTGTTATAATTTCGCCGATTTTCATCTTGTACTTTTAAAATTTGTATCTTAGCCTGTTCTCTCGTTTCTTCTCTATTTGTTACAAATTCGTCTCTACTTTCTTCTAGTAATAAACTAAAAATTTTTAAATCCTCTTTTTGTTTCATTTTTACACCCACCATTAACTCATAAGGACTGGTTCCTATACTTCTTTGATAAGTACTATTTAGAGCCCTTTGAACTCTACTCACATGCTTATACCACTGACTTTTATCCTCTATGCACAGTTTTGTTAAGACTGACACCAAAGTACGATGAATCCTTTCTACCTGCCCATTTCCTCTGGGTACTCCAGTGGTGATAACAATATGTTGGATATTCTCATCTTTACAATAGTCATCAAACTCCTTGCTAGTAAAAGCCGTTCCTCTATCTGATATAATTCGATCTGGGTTTCCAAAAGTCTGCTGATGAATAAGTAACTTACTTAATGTCTCCTTAGTAGTAGTTGTCTTCACTGGAAAGAGCCAAACAAACTTTGTAAATGCGTCTACAATTGTTAAAATATAATTATACAATTTTGAAGTCTCTGAGAGTGGTCCTATGTGATCAATATGCAACGTACTAAGTGGGATAATGCCCTTCTCTATGGAATTAAGAAAACCTTCTTGTTTTCCTTCTTTCTTCGTTGCCAACAAACATGGTACGCAGGTTACAAGGAAGTTATCTATTTTAGAAGATAAATCTTTTATATAATAATCTACATTTAACATTTCTAACATCTTTTTCTTGCCAAAATGACCATTCGAGTGAATTGTTTTAATAATTTCCATTTCTAATCCCTTGGGAATAAGTATTTGTCCTTGATCACCCTTGTATATGATTCCATTCTGTTCATAATAATCTTTGTAAGGCCTCTCCTTAATTATATCTGAAATCACCTTTATACCCTCATCTAGTTCCTGTGCTCTCCTGATTTGATCATGTAACCCTCTGGTAACAACAGTAACATAAGGATTGCGACTAAGAGCATCAACATGCCGCATCTGATTCCCTTTTCTATGCTCCACCTCATAATCATACTCTTGTAATAACAATACCCATCTTGCAACTCTAGTTGATAAATCCTTCTTTTTTAATGTCATTTCAAATGCTAAGCAATCAGTAACAATCTTAAATTTTATGCCAAGTAAATATTTCCTGAATTTTTTAACACCCTCTATTATGGCTAATGCCTCCAGCTCATAACTTGTGTATTTCGGCTCTGCATCTGAGGTTTTACGACTTAGGTAGTACACAGGGTGTAAACTCCCATCATTAGAATCCTTTTGAAATAATATTGCTGAATAAGCCATGATAGATGCATCTGTATGCAATTCGGTATCGAGTCCTGGGTTATATAATTTTAATACTGGATTTTCAGACAACAACTTCTTTAACAATTTGAATGCAATTTCCTGTTTTTCACTGAAAATAAAATCATTATTCTTCTTTAATAAGTCTGTTAATGGTCGTGCTATAGAAGCATACCCTTCAATAAATTTTCTAAAATAGGATGTCAATCCAATGAAACTTTGAATCTGTTTTACCGACTTAGGTTGCGGATACTTTAAAACTGCTTCAACTTTGTCTCTACACGGTTTTATTTCTCCATTTTCAATTTCATAACCAAGATATTCCACCTTTTTAGTCAATAAGTCACTTTTTCTCCAATTTATATGTAATCCGTATTTAGAAGCTAATTTTAAAACTTCACGAAGTCGATCTATGGCTTCATCATATGTGTTTGATAATATTATTAAGTCGTCAATAAAAATTAATAGAAACCCCTTTGCTATAAGCTCTCTGAAAATAATAGTGATAAAACGTGTGAAATGATTCGGACATATGGACAAACCAAAAGGTGCTCTCATAAACTCATATTGATAGATAGATAGATAGATAATTGATTTATTGCCAACATAACACAAATAATACAATTTACAATAAGACAAAACAAGAAATAATAATAAAATGGAAGTTGGCAATAGGAGCTGCCTCAGCTGTTGCTGATATAAGCACAACCTTTGTGAGGTGCACCTATACAGCGCTGGTTTTCAGGCAGCCCCCATTACTCATAAAAAAAAAAAAACTAAGATGCGGGTTTTTTACTACATACAGATACATATAATTTAAACACAAAAAAAAAAAAAATATATTAAATAAGATCTAGGATACACAAATATAAATATATATAGAATGAATTACAATATTCAATGCTCACAAAAACCGAAATCAGTTACAATAACAGTATTGTTCATTACACGGCACTCTGATCAACCAGCAGCGCGACCAGCGGGGTCCGTCCGGAGGACACCGACAATACCCGAACGGAGCCGACCGCCACTTGTACATAGTACGGCGGCAAAGTTACACCTTATTTTATAATCTTGTAAAGAATCAGCAATTAAACTATTCATCATATCAAAATTTGTATTATTGGAGCTGCTGAAGCTCCAACAAGGTCCTTCGAGCCGGATTGTCTTGTGACGTGTAATGAACATACTCCCGGACGTTGAATGCTATGCCATTCAATAGATGGGAAGTACACATATGTTGTTGTATGCCCTCGTGATGATGCCTGTCTTCGTACGAATCTCAGCCACCCGTGTAGTGTCAGAGCCAGATAACTTTGTGATCCGCCCTAATAACCAAAGGAGCGGTGGCTGCACTTTGTCCTTGACTATGACCATGGTGGTCCTTCGAGCCGGATTATTTTATAATCTTGTAAAGAATCAGCAATTAAACTATTCATCATATCAAAATTTGTATTATTGGAGCTGCTGAAGCTCCAACAAGGTCCTTCGAGGGTTTATCAAGAAACTACGAGATATAAATCGACTACGCCGATACAGCAAGTCATTCAACCACGTCATACAATTGCACTATAGACCGGTCGGTGCGGCCGGGTCATCAGTAAAGGAAATAAGAAGTTGTGAAGATTCCAAACCAGTGTTCAATTCTTCAAATTAACGCAACGTGAACATTCGGAGTACCTCATCGATACGGGTTTTGTGAGTCCGTTCCATAATTCCATTTTATTCCTACATACCTACATACATACATTCAGAATTTTCTATCAGTCTTGTCTGGATCAGGCATATTGATCTCTTATACATATAGCCAGATAGTAAATTCTTATTTTTAAAACGAACTTATCGGTTACTTACAAAGTATTTGTTTTTAATCATATAAATATTTCATTCAAATACTCAATTGCATAACCAGAAAAGTTAATTATTTATTTCATAATAGATATAATAAGTGATTTTTCAGTAAACGCTACGTATATTATAACTAAATAGCAAATAATATAATAGCAATAGTACTTTCGTATATTAATCGACCGAGCGATCGAGAACTTTCTTGCATAGTTGCGTAGGTACCCACTTATTGTTTTTGTTTGCTTATCGGTCGTCACCTGCATTTCCTATTGTTCTTATATGCAGCATCGAGACCGGTCAGTAATAGACATTCAGCTACCTGCGTTTTATCGGGTTTATAACATAACAACTTAAATAATATTTAGTGCATTATAAATTATATTTTTTTTCTCACAATGAATAAAGATAGTGATAGTGATGTGTTTTCTGCTAGTAAACTCAAAGAAATCAATATCAAACGCGGAACTATGAAAGGTAGACTTACTAAATTCAGTACATATTTAGATTCTTTAGAGAAACAGTTAAATTTAAATCCCGTCCAAGAAGCCGAGCTCGAATGTCGTTTGAGCAAAATAGAATCCCTATATAGTGATTTTGACGATTTACAGGCAGAGGCGGAGTCGTTGTGTGGAGCAGCAGATCAACAGGAGCGTGAAAGAGATCAATTTGAGGACCAGTATTTTGGACTGGTTGCCGTAGCTCGTACTTTACTCGCTAACTCGCGGGGTCCGCGCGGCTCCATGTGCGTTGAAGAAATAAGTGGACTTCACTCAGCCAGACATGATTTTGTGAGGCTTCCCAAAATCGACCTACCTCAGTACTCAGGCGATTTCCAAAATTGGATGGAATTTAGAGATATGTACATTTCTTTAATACACGAAAATAGCAATCTTAGTAACATTAATAAATTTCATTATTTACGAGCAGCCTTAAAGGGCAGCGCCTCACTAGTTATTCAAAATTTAGACTTCCGTTCAGAAAATTATTTAATAGCTTGGCAATTATTATCAGAAAGATATGATAATACTCGCGTACTTATAACCAATCATTTAAATGCATTATTTAATTTAGAAGCGATTCCAAAAGAATCTAGTCAGTCTTTACGTAATATGATAGACGTAATTAACAAAAACTTACGGTCATTAAGTGCCCTTGGCCAACCTACAGACCATTGGGACACTCTTATTATTTATATTATGTCTAGAAAATTGGATTATACATCTAATTTAAAATGGAAGAACTGAGAAATGATCGTAATGACGGCGAAACTTTAGAACAATTTTTTTTAAAATTTTTAAACAACAGAGCTGACTTACTACATACTGTACAATATAACAAAAATGCAAATAAAACATATACGCCATATACTAACACAGTTAACAATCAAAAAAATAAAACATTTACAGTGACAACCAACAATAATCGCAGTAATAATTACACTATATCTTGTGCGTTATGCAAACAGAGTCATCACCTTTTTACTTGTCAGTTATTTAGAGATTTGGATGTGGATACTCGCATACAAAAAGTTAATGGTTACTCCATATGTCAAAACTGCTTGCGTCCAGGACATAAAGAAAATAAGTGTAAATTATCACATTGTAAATATTGTAAGGAGAAACATAACACACTGTTGCACAAAGATGTACATACTGAAACTATACATTCAGAAAATGTTGTCTTATCAACAAATATTGTTCAAACGTCTTCTCAGTCACACATTTTATTATCCACAGCATTGGTGCAAGTGTCAGACGCTCAAGGACGACTCCATACTGCGCGTTTGCTGTTGGATAATGGAAGTACTTCTCACTTCATCACACGGCAGCTCTGCGAGAAGCTGGGTCTCGTAATACGTAACACCAATTCCACCATATCTGGTATTAATAACCAGCTTACCGTAAGTGCAGAGTCTTGCAATCTCACTATTAAATCTCGGTCTAGTGATTATGGGGTGCGTCTTAACTGTTATATATTGCCTAATATAACTCAGTCATTGCCCTCAACATACATAAATACCGATATACAACTTCCCCCTGGAATTCAGTTAGCTGATCCGTCTTTCAATGTTCCAAATGCGGTTCAAATCCTAGTCGGAGCTGAAATATTTTGGGATGTCTTAGGTTCTAATACTATAAATCTCGGCAAGCGACAACCTAAGCTTCAGGAGACTAAGTTAGGTTGGATTGTGACAGGCGTGATTCACCAGGACCCAGTGACACATAATCGTAATACCAAAATAATACGCCAAAACCCATCATGCTTTCTCACACAATGCGAAAATACACAATTGACTCGCTTTTGGGAGCTTGAGTCCGTATCTCCCAGGTATTCTCAGTCAGCAGAAGAAAGGTTTTGCGAAGAAAGTTTCAATAATAATACACGGCGTGATAGTCGAGGTAGGTTTGTTGTAACTATACCACTCAAGGAGTCCCCTGAGGTGTTGGGCGACTCATACATGAAAGCACGGAGTCAATTCCTTTCTCTTGAACGTCGACTGCAACGCGATGAGACCCTGAAACAAAGGTACGCAGATTTCATGCATGAGTACATTCTACTAGGACACATGGAAGAAAATAAACAAAAAACCGAAAGTAAATCATATTACTTACCTCACCATGGAATCACACGGGAATCCAGCTCCACTACGAAGCTACGTGTTGTCTTCAACGCTTCAGCGTCGACCTCTACCGGTAAATCATATAATGAAATACAATGTATAGGCCCAGTTGTACAAGAGGACCTCTATTCTATTCTTCTTAGATTTAGGCAACATAAATACGTAGTCACTGGTGACATCGAAAAAATGTATAGAGCTATCTTAGTTACACCCGAACAACGTTCATTACAACAAATATTATTTCGATTTAATACGTCAGACCCTTTAAAGTGTTATAAATTAAATACGGTGACTTATGGCACCGCGTCGGCACCGTATTTAGCAACCAAATGTCTGGCATCACTAAGTAACGCTTGCTCTGATCATAACGCTTCACTTTCAATACAGAGAGATTTTTATGTGGATGATTATTTGAGTGGAGGAGATACCATTGAATCCATTAAAAAACAATGTCAAATTGTAAAGGAAGTATTAGAATCTGCTCATTTTAATTTACGTAAATGGCAATCAAATAATATAGATTTGTTACGGTCAATTACCACCGATAAAAAGTTAATTGATACAGAAAAATCATTAAATTTAAATCAATATCAGCCATGTAAAACTCTCGGTCTGAATTGGGATACTATTTCCGATATGTTTTTGTTTACTATTCAAATAAAGAACAATGACGACAAAATAACGAAACGTAATGTCCTATCTCTTACAAGTCAGGTCTTTGATCCACTTGGCTTGTTGGGTCCATGCACAGTCCGAGCTAAACTGATCATACAACAGTTATGGAAAATTCAATGTGGCTGGGATGATGAAATTCCAGAAGCGATAAAAAAAGAATTCATAGATTTTATCGATTCTTACCTTTGTTAAATTCATTGCGCATTCCGCGGTGGGTTTCCTCTACATTAAAATCATCGATCGAAATACATACATTTACAGATGCTTCAGAACTCGCTTATGGTGCCTGTGTGTATGTTAGGGTAATGACTGATGAAAAGGTATATGTACACTTATTAACGTCCAAAAACAAAGTAGCCCCTGTAAAACCGACTACAATCCCACGACTGGAACTTTGTGCAGCTCTGCTGGGGTCAAGATTATTTACAAAGGTTATACATTCACTTACCTTACAGTTTACGCGCTGTTTCTTTTGGAGTGATTCCATGATAGTACTGGGGTGGCTGAATGCTTCAACTAGTCAATTAAAACATTTTGTTCGTAATCGCGTTAACGAAATTCAGGAAACCACGAGTGGACATAAGTGGTGTTACGTACCGTCACAAGACAATCCGGCAGACCTGGTTTCTCGTGGCGTGAGGTCTGAATCCATCAGTATGTCAGAATTGTGGTGGTCGGGCCCTACTTTCTTACATACAAAGACAATCACGATACCGAAACAACCTAACACATCAGTTACACATTTACCAGATATCTCACTACACACAAAACATACACGCTAATAAGTACCGACATACATACAAAAACACACACAAACGGAGACACACATTTACAAAATAATTCCATATATTTATTTATACTTAAATCATCAAATTATACAAAATTAATTAGAATTGTTGCATACATAAAACGATTTATTAATAATTGTAAAAAAATCAAACCTTAAAATAAATAATTGTTTATGTACTACAGAATTAAAAGCATCAGAATATATAATTTTAAATATTTGTCAACAGGCAATGTTTCCTCATGAATATAACATTTTAAGGGGTAATAGAATTCTTGAAAGGAGGAACAGATTGAATAGTTTATCTCCATTTATTGATGCTAATAATTTAATTCGAGTTGGTGGTCGCCTTGCTAACTCATATTACTCATACGACATTAAGCATCCTATTTTATTATGTAGCAAGCATCATATTACGAAAGTGCTTGTTAAAATGTATCATATAAATTTACTACATGCTGGACCCCAACTTTTATTAGCAAACTTAAGACTGAATTATTGGATTTTAAACGGTAGAAATTTAGTAAAAATAATTGTTAAAAGATGCATAAAGTGTTTTAGATTTAATCCTCGACATTTTCAGCCTAAAATGGCAGACTTCCATCATCGCGGTCCCAACTTGATTATCCATTTCAAAATACAGGTATAGATTATGCAGGACCAATATTAATAACAGATAGGAAAGGTCGAGGTGGAAGGCTCACTAAATCTTACATATGTGTCTTTGTCTGTTTTGCGGTGAAGGCACTACACTTGGAGCTGGTGACGGACCTCACAAAGCAAGGGTTTTTATTAGCTTTAAATCGATTTATGGCTCGCCGTGGCAAGCCTTCTACTATACATTCTGACAACGGCACCTCCTTTGTCGGTGCTTCTAATGAAATCAAACGAATGCTTGATAATTGCTCAGGTGACATCACACAGCAAGGCATAGAATTTAAATTTTATCCCTCCTTACACGCCCCATTACGGAGGTCTTTGGGAAGCATCCGTAAAAAGCGTGAAAATATCATTTACGTAGAATTCTTTCTCTGTCTCATTTAACGTACGAAGAAATGTCGACTTGTCTGATTCAGATAGAGGCTGTTTTAAATTCGCGTCCACTTACACCTTTATCAACCAACCCTTCGGATCTTTCCTACCTTTCTCTGCCAT